GTGGTCATGGATTACTTCAGTAAATGGCCGGAGGTTTATGCTATCCCAAATCAAGAAGCCAGGACAATTGTGGATGTGTTCAGCAAAAATTGGATTTGTCGCTATGGTGTTCCATCTGAGGTTCATTCCGATCAAGGTAGGAATTTTGAATCAGCGATCTTCAAGGAAATGTGTGACTCCTACGGAATTAAGAAAACCAGAACGACGCCCCTACATCCACAATCAGATGGCATGGTGGAAAGATTCAATCGCACCCTTGAAGAACATCTACGGAAAGTGGTGGACAGTGGCCAACGAGACTGGGATGAGCATATTCCAAAGTTTTTATTGGCTTATAGATCGGCCATTCATGATTCCACATCCCGGACCCCAGCCAAAGTTCTGTTCGGAAATGAATTAAAGCTACCTGGCGATTTGATATTCGGCGCTACCCCAAACGACGATGTGAACCAAGATGAAGACAGCCAAAACTCTTTTAGTAAAGTCCACGATGCAGTCCGACATCGAATAAAAATGGTTAGCAACCGCATGAAGGCAAGGTACGATCGAGCGGCAAATACCGATGGGTTTCAAGAAGGGCAACTGGTACTATTGTTCAACCCACAACGAAAGAAAGGACTATGCCCCAAATTGCAAACGCACTGGGAAGGACCCTACAAGATTGTCACGAAAATAAATGACGTCGTTTATCGCATCCAGAGGAGCGACAGTCCCAGGTCGAAGATGAAAGTTGTACATTTGGAGCGGCTGACCCCCTACGGAACGGGAACTGTGCCTATTCGGGACGAACAGGCTTAAGCGGGGGGCAATGTTACGAATATAACTTTAGATTTAAGTTAATTTAGATGAATTCCGTTAATTTAAGAATTTGAATTGTAACGTAAATTTCTACTACGCAGTTTATTTGAATAACTTCACAACAACAACCACTGTATAGATTTTTCTACATCCTTCCATTTCCTCTTTCATTTTCTATTTTGTTATTGTCGTACAATTCTTGTTAAACGTCATTCCTCTTTCTTTGTTATTCCCTCGCCTGTATATGTGTTGTTGTTATTGTAAGTTTGTTTACTCAAGTTTGTTGTTGTTATTGTTCACTCAGTAAGTTTGTTGTTGTTATTGTTACTCAATGTGTTTGTTGCATTGGTAGATTGTTCGTGATCTAGGTGTTACCAGATCGTCTAGAAACTTCTGTAGCGACAGGCAGGGCTCATATAAATAGAGGGAATGGAAAGGCAGTGAGTCAGTTGTGAATCAGATCGCGAATTGAAACCGTCGTGTAAAGTAAAGTTGTGTGAATAAAATCATTGTAATAATCGTAATCAGAAAGAACCCGCGTTTTATTTGGTACGAATTGTATCGGGAAATAAAACAACGTCTACACGGGATTTAGTAAAATCCAAGAACGTAACAATACAAATACTTGTTCCACGTTTGTGCCCTTTTTTGGAAAAAGCCTTTTTTTGTGAGAATTTCTGTAATTTTCAACACTTTACCGCCTTCTCTTAAAACATTTAGCTCTTCCTTAAAATTTTATCGTACTCATTTATATGATTACTTCAACCTCAATTCCTCTTAAAATTCGTGGGTTTTGTTTAATTACTTGTGTTTTTATTGCATAATTGATTTAAACATTTAAATAATTATAGCTATAATAAATTATATTTCTTTTATATTGATGATTGTGATATAATAAGATATTTAAACCTGTAAATTGTAATTAGTGTACTGTAGTTCTTGGCCCTATGTGCTAGGTCGCTACATCAAATAAACTAATTATAATATTAAAAATGTTTTTGAAGTACAGTGGTTCTGAACCCCTCCAACTAAATAGAAGTTAAGATATTATTAAGATAATACATTGTAAGTCTTAAGATTTTGGAGTAGTCTATTTTTGTTGTTTTTTGAATCGCTCTAGGCCCTTTGGGCTAGATTCTCGTTTATGAAATTAAATTGAAAAGTGTACATTTGTTTAAAGAGATGTACCTATATCATATAGTTTTTTTCAACTGATAGCATTTGTTTGCACGCATCTAATTTGTTTGAATTTTTATAACTTAGTTGTCTAAACTTCCAAGGTCGACATCTCGGAAAGTATGAATTGGGTGCTGGAAGTTCCCTTAATCTAAACACTAGTGATTATAGCCTTACCTAATAACCTATCTAAATGATCGGCAGTATAAACAAATTAGTTTAAGTAAATACTGTAATAAAATAGGTATTTCATATACAAAATTTTATAGTTTTTAATTATATAATTTCTTAATTATCAAATGATTTACATTGAAAATTCTTCGAAGGAAAATTTACTTTCAAAGTTCACTAACGTATTTAAAAGGTGTCTAACATATCATATAAATATATGTATAAACATACATATATACATTTATATATTTAATCTAATTACTGTAAAATCAAATAATTGATAATTAATAAATTGAAATTATTCCTATATCTAAATTAATAATAAATTATACCACGTAAAATGCGTAGTTTATTAATTTTTCTTTCATTGAATAATTTAGATCAAGTACACATTTTTATATGAACTGATAACTTTATTGTTGATAGACAAGCTTCTACTCGAAGCTGTAAGATAGGAATATGCAATTTTACAATAATTTCAACGAATATTTATTTACCTCCAAAGGATAAATGAATTTGCTCTGGTCGAAAGTAGACCACTGAATCCAAACTCCTTTTCCGGAATCCTTCAGCACACACATTGCTTATAATGCATATTACAATAATAAAGACCAAAGATTTTTTACACATTTTAATAAAGACAATTGATAAATGTTCATATGAATAGTAAATAAAACTTTAAATTATTGAAAAAGCCTTAGCAGAAGTTACGACGTTCCGGAACATACTAGTTCAAAGGATATACTTACAGAACGGAATTGTTGGAACTAGTACCCTTTATTACTTTAAATAAAGGCGCGTTTAGACTGTAGTCTTTATCGTGATAATGTGCATTATCTCGATTTAATTGCTAATGGCGCGTTTAGACTATAGCTTTTAGCGCGATAAAGTGCATGGCTCGATTTAGTAATTAAATCGAGATTTACCATACAAAATAAAATCCACTCAATATCTCGATTTGCTCTAAATCCTATGCTAAATCGAGATAATTTCAAATACAAAAAAAAAAAAAAAATAGTCAAAGAAAAAAATAGTTTCTCCTTAAAGTGTGCTTTGAAATTAGTTATCCAAATTAACTGTCTGACACAAATATGTCTACTGCTGAAAATTTATTTTTTGTTTGCATTCATAATAAATATTACTATAATTTAGAAGGACACAGGTTTTGATGCATTTCTGATCTAATAGAGAATAACAGCATTTACATAAGAACATTTTTCCGGGTTAACCTTCTTTATGAGGATTTATTTGACATATATACAATGAAATTGAAAATTCTAACGAAATCCGGTACAATGTAAACGTATTATAAGTTCGATTTCTTTTGCAATAATAGCTGCATGATGCAATAATAAGGTGATATATCAAAACAAAAACATTTGTTTTTGTTTCGACCACCTGTAAAATGTTTCCTTATAATATTTAACATGGTTGGCAACATTGCACATCGAATTCAAGTAGAAATTACGCACTTTGACAGTAAATCGAGACATCAGCTGTGCTAAATGGTCTACCTATTTATTGTGCCATGAATAGCAGCGTCTGCATGCATTTCCAGTAAGTTTTATTTCAAAGAGTAAACACTATTTTACAAAAAAAAAAAAATACGAATGGTATCCCAAATAACCCGCGAACACTACTCAAATTTTATATTTTCTAAAGCTCCACATAGTTAAAGATGTAAATTTGGGTGTTACAATCATGGTATAATTATTCAAGTTAGGCTATAGCATCTTATAATTTTCAATTTATTTCATATTGTGACTTCTTATGCCAAAGTTGTATACAAAATGTGTGACTGTGTGTGTAATGTTTTGACAATTATACAAAAATATATTCTAAAATCTATTTGTTTACGGGTGAATTTAGCAACATTGTTAAGAAGAAATTTATGATTTGTGGATCTAAATCATAATCCCAACTCGATTTTGTAAATAAATTATCGCGTTAACGAGCGTAAAAAGTTGAAATATATTTATCTCCGAAGCGCAACGGACATCAAATTTGCGCGTTTGTGTTATCGTTTCCTTGTGGTTGGAAACGGAACGGATGACTCAACGCGTACATTCTTCTTAGCTCTCAAGCAAGATCTATTAATAAGGTCACCAAGATAGCAATCGAAATCGGAAAACAGCTGTTTTTTCTCAAGTCTAATGTCAAAAATTTCGATTTTGTTTACGTTTTCATAATGGACGTCAATTTACAATAATGCATTTTGACAGCAAACTTGAGAGGTATCGATAATCAGCTGGTCTCCCTTGGTGACCTTATTTATAGGCCATGCTCTCAAGAAATAGTTGTAATAATTATACCATTTATGAAAAATAGAAACTTCTAAAAATCTAAAATAATTTCGATTAGTACAAGATTCTTGCTGGTTTGTGAATAGAGCAATATAAATTTTGATTACTATTTTTATTATTATTGGTATGTAAAATATGAAATATGAAAAATGTTTATACCATAAATTTTCAAATAAATATGGTGGCTTTAACTTATATGTGTAACACAAATAAAAATTGTGGAAACTACGAGTTATTCCATGAACAAAGATTTGCTTTCGCAAACTTTCCCAGCAGGCAGATTGAATACGGGAGGACACTTAAGAAAGAACAATTTCGAATTTTATGCGTACCCAATTCTTCTGTCGGGTCATTTCTAAAATCATTATTACGTTGAAATCAAATCAGCTGGGTTTTGCTGTTACCTTTTATAATTGTACCATGATTCTGATTATTAATTCCATTGTCTTGCTGTGTATAAACGTAATGTTAATGTCTAAAAATCAACATCGATTTTTTCCGATTTTTGTTGTATATATCGATTATTCGAAAGTCGACCTATGTACACCTAGTGTGTTCGTTCGTTCTTCTTCGTGTGCTGTGTGAGAAAAAAATCTACCAAAAAACAGTAAAAAATAGAAACGAGGCTCACACAATACATTTCTGCAAAATATAATAGTGTTTAGCCAAATTTTTTACAAAACGAATGATATAGTCGGAAAGTAAAAAAGCTAAATTTTAAGTTGAAAAAACAAACCCACCAATCAACCGAACGACGACCGACCAACGCTCCATACAAATACAATAAAAAATAGAAGCAGCAGCAGCGAAGAGAACAAAAGAAAAAATATGGTTGACATAATAAATATTGACAGCATCATATCGCGGCTCTTGGAAGTGCGTGGGGCTAGGCCTGGCAAAAATGTCCAGTTGTCGGAGAGTGAAATACGAGGACTATGTCTCAAGTCGCGTGAGATATTCTTGTCGCAGCCAATACTGTTAGAGCTAGAGGCCCCATTGAAAATTTGCGGTGACATTCACGGTCAATACTACGACTTGCTGCGCCTGTTCGAGTACGGAGGTTTTCCACCCGAATCGAATTACTTATTTTTGGGCGATTATGTCGATCGTGGAAAGCAATCATTGGAGACGATCTGTTTGCTCTTGGCCTACAAGATAAAGTATTCGGAAAATTTCTTCTTATTGCGTGGTAATCACGAATGTGCCAGCATTAATCGTATTTATGGCTTCTATGACGAATGCAAACGTCGGTACACAATTAAATTGTGGAAGACCTTTACCGACTGCTTCAACTGTTTACCAGTGGCGGCCATTGTTGACGAAAAAATATTCTGTTGCCACGGCGGTTTGAGCCCCGATCTCTCTTCGATGGAACAGATCCGAAGAATCATGCGTCCCACCGACGTGCCAGATCAGGGTTTGCTGTGTGATTTGCTATGGTCCGATCCCGACAAAGACACTATGGGCTGGGGAGAGAACGACCGTGGTGTCAGCTTTACATTTGGAGCTGAGGTTGTAGGAAAATTCTTACAGAAGCACGAATTCGATCTTATCTGTCGTGCTCATCAAGTGGTTGAGGATGGATACGAGTTCTTTGCCAAACGACAGCTGGTCACATTGTTTTCGGCACCCAACTACTGTGGAGAATTCGATAATGCAGGCGCCATGATGTCCGTTGACGACACTCTTATGTGCTCCTTCCAGATCCTGAAGCCAGCCGACAAACGTAAAAAGTAAATTAACCACAGAGACATGAATGCATCAAAATACTTCCTCCTTCTCCTCCCCCATATCTGCATCATTCAATAAAACATACAAATTCTTTCAATTAACTCCGCGAGCATATTCACTTCAATAGACACGATCAAAGCGTTGATTTATTAACATAACTTTGTTTTTAATTTTTATTAAACGTTTTCTGACCAACATTAAATATTTTGATATTGCTCCGCAAGCGTTTTGTTCTGGACATTCATTTTAAGTATTCATTGAAGCATGTAAGGTAGGAACCAAGTAAAAAAGCAAATCCATAACTTATTGTAAACTAAAGAAATACACATAGGACTTCACCTCATTTTGTTGTGCTTACAAATTTTAAAAAAAGAGAAAATATATAAATGTATATCTATGAAGATGTTTTTCAGTTTTTTTTTCTATACCGTTTTTTTCTATCCGGAACAAACCGTTTTATTTTATACTTATCATGGCCCCATAATTATTATAGTAGATTGCTCATTCAAGGTATTTGAATGAAACAAATTGAGTTTCTGTCACTCTGATCACAACTACGATGTCCCCAAACTCTAACCAGTATCTTTGTTGATGTGTAAACTAAGAATAAATACAAATACCTTATTTTTTGAGCAAAAAAATCCAAACAAATTATTCGATGTATTAATCTATATATGAAATCACAAAAGAAATATCCTTTGTATTATGAATAAAATAAAAAGTAAATTAAATAAATATACTATCACTCGCCATTAATTGTATTCGGGGTGGTGAAAGGTGTTTACAAAACAACACACATTTCAAAGACCATATTTGTAGATATTGTCGAGAATACAGGTGCAGCAATACTCCGGAAAGACTCTTAAATTTGTTTCGGTTAGATTTGTATATGCATAAGCTAGGGAATAGGACACAATTGTATCGCAGGCCTGAAATTGCACATTACAAAATCAAAGTAGAATATAAATTTTGTATCTATTAAATAGATTTGACAAAGTACATGTTTAAAGTCTTGGCGTGTTAGAAATAATTAGTTTCAGCGGTACACTTTTAGTATCCAAAGGACCAGAAGTTATGTTTCTATATATATTTATTATTTTATATATCGTTAGCTAAAATGCAAAAAGGCGTAACTAACAAAAATTGAAACTGACTTTGTCAACACATGTAGTTTATTGACATTCACAATATTCATTCAAAAAGTCAATTTTCAATTTTTTGTTAGTTACGCCTTTTTGGATTTTAGCTAACGATATATTTTTTGTTTGAATGTTTTGATCTTTTGTGCTATTTAAATAGGAAATTAATTTTTTTGAGTTCTTTAGTTTAGTATCAAAAAGTTAAACAATTTTTTTTACCTACGATATGGCTTCCAAGGCATAAGTGATTATCAATGACTATAAATAAAATGCATGTACGGGAATTTATAACGTTCACATTAATCAGCAAATAATAAATGATTTCTAAAGGTATATACATAAACGTCTCGTCTTAGAAAGGAGAGTGTATTGCAGTAAAAATAATATAGCAATATCGTCAGCTAAAATGCAAAAAGGCGTAACTACAAAAAATTGAAAATTGACTTTTTGAATGAATATTGTGAATGTCAATAAACTACATGTGTTGACAAAGTTTTACACGTCTGGGGTCACAAAAGGAGCTTCTATTAACAAAAAACAAAAAGACGTAACTACAAGTGGGTTAATTTGCTAAATGCAAAAAGGCGTAACTAACAAAAAATTCACGTTTTTACTTAATTGTTATGACTGCCATTAAACTAAATAACTAAATTTGTTAAAAAAAAATTATAGTCTATTATTCGTCATATGCAATATCACCCTGCCGGGCATACTTTTTCATTTCACATGACATGTTTATAGTTTTCATTCAAAACAGTTTTTTGCTTCTCCTACACAATTATGCTTTTGTTAGTTACGCCTTTTTGTATTTTAGCTAACGATATGCAATATCACCCTGCCGGGCATACTTTTTCATTTCACATGACATGTTTATAGTTTTCATTCAAAACAGTTTTTTGATTCTCCTACACAATTATGCTTTTGTTAGTTACGCCTTTTTTGCATTTTAGCTAACGATATACAACTTTGTGTTATTCTATTTAAATCAAATGTGCTTTTTTGGAATAATATTTGAGGAAAATAAGAATGTACCAAATGTAATTTTGTATATAATTGGTGTCTGAACTGTAATGTTCGGATCAGAAAACTTCATAGTTTCATAACTAAATACGATAACACAAATGCCTACAATAATTTAATTCTGTAGTGTTGACGGGTTATTTGGGATGCCATTTGTATTTTGTTATTGCAAAATATATTTTATAAAAACAACAAACTCGTATTACGCCTGACTTTTTTGCAATAACAACGTAATTTATTTCTAATTAATGATGAGACTAATGAGAAGACGCGTGTGGTTGCATTTTTAAATCCACAAAAATTAACTCAAACAAGAAAAAAAATACAAAATGCTTCTGATTTTAATTTTCGTGTGGGATATACAAATCAAATAATATAACAGTCTATTTATTTTTTAAAATCTTTTGAATATTAAGAGTATATTTTATTACTTTTATTATACTCTTCAGATGCATAAATGAATTATAATTTTTTTTATATTTTGTAATCTGGGCGTAATCCCAGTTTGTTGTTTTTATAAAAACAACTATTTATTATTGGGAGTAAGGAGTAAGACAGTAAAGACTATAGTTTAGGATTTCGCCACTTATCATCATCAGTTCCCTTAGTTCATCAGAGAATTATTTAGCCCACCGTTTAATAAATCCTAAGACACCGTGGGCTTTGTTAACCATAGAAAATACATGATTATTAAAATTTAATTATGGATCCCAAGATCAAAAAATGAATCTACAGTTGATAAAAAGTACCATTAATATTGTATTGCCTTGTTAAAGTAGAAGAACTGGAAAAACAAATATGCTTACATTTGTTTAGGTTTAAATCCATACAGTTTAATTCGCACCATTTAAAAATGATATTTAAATCATTTTGAATGGTGATTATAAATATGAAGTTGTGATAAGGGAGGAATGTATGAGCAAGTCCATATCAAAAGTGTTTAATTCAATTAAATTAGTGGAATATTTGGCATCAACTGCAATAAGGACGCCACCACCTTTTTAACAACTCTATCTTTTCTAAATATTTGATATTTAGAACACAAAATTTCACTGTTTAACACGGATGCTTTTATCCAAGTTTCAGGGAATAATCGAGTTAATTTTGTGTTTGACCCTCTTACATTCTGATAGCAAACATTGTGAAACATATTTAGTTTTTTTTTTTTGCAATATTTCAGCCCTCTGAGGCAAATGAGCTAAAGTTTCAGATCTCTCCAGAAATTCCTTATCAAATGCATTAGCAGGCCAAAATTCTCTCGAAATTAGTGGATGAAACATATCAAATGCATTAGCAGGCCAAAATTCTCTCGAAATTAGTGGATGAAACATACTTTCTTGTTCTACGATTTTAAAAGATGATCTACTTTCTGAGAAAGCAGACCGAAGCTTATAACAACGTAGAAAGAAATTTCCATCGATTTTTGATTTTATGTAATAATTTGTCTTTTAAAATTCCTTTATTCGATGAGATTTGTTCGGAGGAATTCTAAATTTAGGGGAGAGGGGGGCACCTTTGAACACTTTTTGCTTTCAAGCCTTATACATTTTTTTATTTTATAATTTTTGGTTTCTTATAAATTTTAACTAATAGGTACATATGTAACCTTTAAAATGAATATACATATGACATACTATAAGCTTGATAAATATATTTTATTACTGCTTTAAAACTGCCCCCCACGGGGGTTGACATTTTTGAACGACATGGTTTTTTACAGTGTTTATGTTCAAATATGTAAGTATTTTATTAATACATATCAGAAATGCATTAATTCATTAAAAAATATATAAAAATGTTCAAAATTTAAAAAAAAAAAATTAGATCAAAAGTTATTAGAACATAAAATGGCTTAAAAACAAAAAATAATATGGTGAAAAATACAGTTAATTTCGTAATCTTATTAGCCCATTTGAAATTTTGAGAAATCGAAGACAAAAGTTAAAAACTCCTTTTTTACTCGAGTTTAATGGGCATGTTCAAAGGTGCCCCACCCATGGCATTTTACGGAAATTTAAAATAACTTTTTTTTGTAATAAATATATATGAGAGAAATTACATTAGATATGTTTAAAATGATTGTTGGAATGCAAAAAATTTGTTTGACGAAAGAAAACTATCACAGAATTCTTCCTGCGCCCTTACAACCAAATGAATAAAAGTTTACAATGACACTGAGAAAACATGGTCACCCATGCACATTTTTCGACAACTGAAAAAGCAAACCAAAGTGGTTTACGCATATAGAGAACAAGATTGACATATACAAAAATGTGGTTGCGGGTCGGAAAAATGTTAAACCAAGATTTTGTGAGCGCTGTTCAAAGGTGCCCCCTCTCCCCTACTTATTTGTAAGTGGGAGAGTCTAATTTTTAATTTTGTATTTATTATTTTATAGCAATGGATCTTGCCACAGCTACCATTTTTGGACCAATTTTTTTGTATTACTGACAAATATCGGTAAAATTAAAACACATGTTTTCATGTAATAAATAACATTTATGTCATCTTATACATATTTATCGGTAGGGTTTAACGACTACTTTATTTCGGTCGTTAACTTACCAAACGTTTTCATTAATTAACAAAATTAAAAGCAAATAAAAATTTGCAGTTATCGACTATTGTCGCTTATTGTGTGGATTTATTGTGTTATATATTCAGTCAATTCCGGCTTTGAACCTCTCCTTGTTGGTTTTCTTTTTGGGTTTTCCCATTTTCGATACCTATTTTAGATACGAGCAAAACATTGATAGTTTTTATCGGACATTTCGACGAAATTTATTAGATATCGAATACGATATCATCAAATTGAATAACATCGATCGAAACAACTGGATATCGACTGTCATAATTTGGTAGATAATTAGTTTAGGTTTGGGGATGTACAGTCACTAATGTGGCTGCAGCACTCTGCGGCCGTCCGGTCCATTGTGCGCAATCAAAGCATATCAATATCTCAATTGATATATATATATATATATATTTATGCCATGTATTTCTTTAGTAGATTTGGTATTTTATTGAAATCGTAATATTGTTAATCCTATATTCTCGTTTGCAAAGACTTACCTTTCCCCAGACATAAACAAATTGTTTTTAATAATAAGGAATATTGTATCTTTATTTAATAATCCATATTTTTTATTATTAGAATAAATTACAAACGAATTTTAAAACCTATTATGAATTATTGCATTATTAAAGTTTTTACGTATTCAGAATATATGTTGGCTTTAATTGTGGCTGCATGGATCGTGCTTTGAGCTGAAGTGGATACATGATATTTTGGAACCATTATGATCTTGGGGTATTTCTATGCGAAACACGATTCCCTGCGGCATGCAAACACATATTTTATATTGTACACTACCAGCTCGTAATCCCATTTCTGTATTTACAATTGGTATTTTATCCATATCGAGAAATATTCCCTCTGAGCCTCCTTCCAAATATGTTGCACCCTGCGTTGAGTTGAATAAAATATTTTGCTCTGCTTTCATGTATACATCGGCAGCATCTGCATGTATACCCTCCGAACCACGTATGGACAAACGATTGTCCAGGGAGGATACCACCAGATGTTTATCTACTGGACTGACTATGCGACTAGCACTATTCACCTTAGATATTAGAACATTAGCACCATTTGGAATTGAGTAATGTGGGCGGTGGGTGGTAAAAATCGTTTCTCCATTTATGGGATCTTTTAATTCAAATGTGTTTATTCCCCGAAACTGCACTCCAGATTTTTCCACTGCCAAACGATTGGAACTGTGACTATTTCGATGATGCATGCGCACATACACGGGGCCATTGTCTCCTTCGATAGTCACGGGATCATCTAAAAATCCCTCAAATAGACCAACATTTTTAGAGAATACTCTATCCAAATCGGTTTCGCCATAAAACTTCACGACATCTTCCTCTGGTATAACTTCCATGCCATATATCCCCTTACCCAAGCGTAGAACACCAATGATAGACAATGTTAACAGCAGATTACCAATAGTCAAAACGAGCAAAATGACTACAATAGTCCAAAATGCAAATGTATTACGTCCGTGAGCCACTTGTTTATTTGTTACGCCTACATTGGCCCGTCGATCGTCATAATAAGTTTCCATTTTAGTTGAAAATACCTTTTCAGGTTTATCTTGTTCAGCTTCAATAGGGAATGATGCTATTGGTAGAGTGCCATGTTCTGAGTTTACTTCGTCCGAATAAGAAGGCGATGGACCACGAATAAATGTATTTTCGAATGCTTTCATTTTTTATGTTTTTCTTAGTTTCTCTTGCAGAATCCTTCTCTCGATGGAATCGTTGATGTTTTTTCCGATTTCTTTCTATCTATTATTTTATAGCTTAATAGAAACAAGTCCTATTTGTAGAGTAGATTTTAGTATACTTGGATGTATTCATTCATACATATAATTTTATTAATATTACTTTGAGCATATTCATGAGGTCAGTGCCATGCGCACTCGGTTGTTTGTAATGCAAACCTGTGTGTCATGGCATGACATGTAAACATAGGAATATATTTATGTTAACATTTTTTGTAATCATTTTTATTTGTATTAAAATGTAGGATTTATTAAGGAAGCTAAGAATATAAATAAAAATTAACCATTTAAAAATATATTTTCAATAATCTTTTTAATTTACTTTTCCATGCAAAAATATTTAAAAAATGTATAAAATAGAAATATAAATTTTAGAAAATGTTTAAACATCATTTATATATGAATTGGACACAAAAACAAGTATTATTAAATTACTTTATGCAAATAATTCCATTGTAGCGGCTCATCAACACTTAGACATTTTGAAAGTTGTCGTCCAATAACCTCTTCTATATGTTCAGCCGAAATACCGTTCGGTTCACTTACTTTAACCCATAAATCATTGGCATCAATGGTTTCACCTATATTTAAATTTTTAGCAGCTACCAACGATTTTCCTAGTTTATTGCGACAATTCATTTCGCAGGGCATTATACTTTTATCATGCAAACAGTCCTTTAAAGCATTTTTAATATCGGTAGTCTCGCCTAGCAAGGATATTATATCTGATACTTTTAAATATGTATGCAAACTCATTATATGTTTTAAATTGTTTATTCCAAGTACCAGATTTCTCATTTGTAGTGGCTCCAGTGAACATTTGTGGTCCGAGCCCTTCTGATTACAATCCAAAGTAAAATGTCTCTCTAAAATTCTTGCCCCCAGCAATACAGCGGCTTTAGATATTTCTATACCCATCTCGTGACCTGAATAACCGATAATTATGTTTGGATATTTCTCCTTCAACCACAGAATTCTAACCAATTCACAATTTTGGGGTTCGGTTGGATATGAAGATACGCAGTGCATAAGGGCAAAGCTTTTCTTATTAGCATTTTCCATAATCTGAACGATACGGTCGACAGTCGCTAAGGTTTGCATTCCGGTGGAGATGATAAGAGGAGTTTTCAACATGGCAGCTTTTTTCAAAAGTGGAAAGTTGTTAGCATCTCCCGAACCAATTTTTATAAAAGGTACTGTCATTGAGCTCATCTCTTCGAGGGAAACCTACAATATAAGTTATAGTTTAAGTTGTAGTTAACACTTGACAAATAAAATCATGGTTATGTTTCTTACTTCGTCCATTGCTGAGGCCGTGAAATCAATCCCTAGAGTATTGCAAAACTCTTGAATTTCTCTATATTGTTCGATAGAAAATTCTAAATAAGTTTTGTGCTCGCCATAAGTATTGCCCCAAGAATTGGGTCCATCATACTTGCGTTGAAGTGCAGATTTTGTAAACTTTGCACTCAGACAGGATTTTTGAAATTTAACGCAATCACAGCCACTTTTCTAATAAAAAAGAAAATTTAAAAATGTTTAGAAATATATATGTGACGTTATATAATACTTATAATATGTAATACTTATTAGGTATATTTAATGACTCAATAATTTGTAATAGTTTGTTACTAAATATTATATATATTTTTTATAACCCAATAATTTGTAACAATTTTTTACTGAATGTTGTTCGAACTATTAAATTAAAACTTTTAAATTAAATAAATTCCGCAGAATAATTCTGGTTTTTATTTTCCCTTAAAAAATTTTTAAGAGAACTTTTGCCCACCATTGTTGCTCTTAAAATTTTTTTAAGTGAAAATAAAAACCAGAATTATTCTGCGGAATTTATTTAATTTAATAACATCCCAGGAAGTTCAAAGAAGAAATTCATTAAAATATTGTAGACAAATTTTCATTAAGGTTTATTTTTGTGTTTACATCAAAAAAATTTGAGTTGTGTTACTGAGTATTTGCAAATTCTTATTGGAAAATTTTACCCAGTAAAGATTTTCTGTAAACATCAATCAACATCAATATATCTATTTCCAAATAAATAGTTAAAACTTACCGGGAAACCATTAACCTCAGCTTATATTTTATCGGCTGTTTGGTTATAATTTACAAACAACCTGAATGTTTGAAATTTTTATTTTGTATCTGCATTGAAATGGAAAAAGAAATACCAAGTACAAATAAAAATAAGTAATACAAATAACTGATTTTTTTTCTTGCTATTCATGTTTCTAATAAAAATTACGTTTTTTTATCTGTGCCAAATTTTTTGTCGTTGTAATCTGCTGTGTCGAGAAAACTTTTTCGCTGGAAATGAAAATAATAGGTTCGTTCGCTTACTTTTTCAGTAAGAATTTGCAGAGATTTAATTAGAATTTTTCGTTCTTAAGAGAGAAAATTGCAAAAAGTAAACAAACAACATCCAGTAAAAAGATTGTATCGACACAACTGAAAATTTATGTTGTTTATAAATACTTACATTTATTCATCCAAAATTCAAAATAAAATTCACAAAACAATTTGCTTGAGAACAATTTTGTTGTTTGTTTACAAAGCATAACAAAACAAATGAACTTTTGGGTAAATGAACTACCTTTTTTAATAATTTGTATAAATTATTTTATATTTTACAGAAGAATGCACTACCTAAATAGTTCGTTTCCACGACAGAGGGGTCTACGATCCAAAACGACCCGAGTTATACTCGGGCTGCTACAACAACCTACACAGTTGTTTTTTTTTTTTTTTTTTGGTTATTCACCTCAAGCTGCCCTTCCTTGAAATATTTAACCATGGCGAGTTCTTAATGTGTAAAGGCGAGTTTAGGCTATGCCTTCTAAATCGACTCGATTTGTAAATCGATTAACTAAATCATATCTGCTAAAAGTGCGTATAGATTTACGATTTCATATATAAATATAATGCACTGGATTTGTGAACATGGAATTGACGTTTGCAATCAAGTGGATCTAAACGCGCCCTTAAACTAGCATTAGAGCGCGTTTAACAGCAAATGGTTGGGTTTATTTGACATTTTTCAATACATAACTAATTATTTCAACTACATGAGAATAAATTAAAATAAGATGAACCACTATTGTTAATACATTCAAATTTATTTTAAAGTGTTCAAATAATATGGAACAGACCATGTATAATGGAATTGGGATGAATTTTATTCATATGGATTTTATTAACCCAGATAACTACAGAGATTTGTTCTTCAAAATCATATATTCATTTTTAAAACTCAAATATGTTATTATTAAATAAGTGTTTAAGAAGAAAATTTAGATTTGGCAAAAATAAATTCATTGTCATGTTTTGGTGTTCTTTAAAAAGGACTGTGGTATCAAGTGAGTTAAAAAATACATTGACCTTTTCCATCATCTAATATTTTCTTTATTCAGCAGTTTTGATTTATACAATTGAGCTCATATTACATTCTAACCAATAATGTTTATTAAATGTAAAAACTCACATCTGTATCATTCGCAATTCAATGAACATGTTTATAGTTTGTTTTTATAAAACTCGAAAGGTTAATACAAGTTAAATATTGAAAGCTATCACTGTACTGTTCTAATTTATTTATTATTTTAGGATGATATTTTTGTATCTATATAATATTTAATTTACCCATGCTTCCATTATCATACGTTTCGCAGTTTCCAAATTGCCCTGATGATTTTGTCCAATTTCAGCTATAACATAAACCCGCTGACCATCCCTTTGAATTAATGTTTGCCCCAATTGTAGCTTCACCATCTTTCTCACGTAAACTGCTCCACTAATTTAACTGTTGCTATTCGTTTTATAAATTAATTAACTTAATAGGAATGCAAAATCGATTAATTAGTTATCGATATCATAAAGGAAAATTCGTTATATCGCAGTAAAAAGTAGTAGATTCTTGCAGTACGGGAACCACATGTCAGTCATATGGTTTTAATTTCTTTCTTTATTTATAAAGCAGATTGTCAAACGCACATTCATTTCTATAATTCTCTATTTCCTTATAATTAATGTCATTGCTACCATGGTATAATTATCATCACTCAATCAATCTGTTGACATATTTTTAACATTTTACCAAAAACGCGAAAAATGAATGAAATGTCAGGTTTTGTTTTCAGAATCGATCATTTACATGTTGATTCATTCACAAATCATCAATATCGTAACGATAACACAAACGCTTAAATATAACTTAACTTTTTGCGTGCGTTAACGCGATAACAAAAAACGCTCAACGCGAACATTCTGCTTAGTCCTTTAATGTGCGTTGCGCTTCGGAGTTAAATATATTTTAATCTTTCGTGTGCGTTAACGCGATAAAGGGCTAAGCAGAATGTTGGCGTTGCGCTTTTTTGTTATCGCGTTAACGTACGCAAAAAATTAAAATATGTTTATCTCCGAAGCGTAACGCACATAAACTTCGAGCGTTTGTGTTAAGGTTTCCTTGTGGTTGTTGTATTTTCGATTACATATAACGCGACGGCAGGCTCAACGCGAGTATTCTGCTTATCCCTTAACTCAGAATCGATTTTGTTTATTTTGCAAATTATATGGTCTGTTCCCGTACTACAAGAATCTAAAATTTTTTATTTATTTATTTAACAATTCCAAAGTCCGAAGACCACATTTAAGAAATTGACAATCGACAGAATATACTTATAACAACAATAAAAAAAATTTAAATTAAATCTATATATGCTTGGCTTGATGCTCAATACAAAAAACACAAAGCTCAAACAAGAAAATTAAATTCAACATTTACTTATCACAAATAACCAAAAGGATAAAAAGTGAAAGTAAAGAGAAAAAATGACATAAACTCTGCTAGCAGTCTAAATAACTACTCGGTTTGCCGAGCAGAAATAGCTCATCAACAGGCATTGCAACAAAAAAAAACATAATTTACAAACTTAGCATCAAGCCCAGCATTAAAAAATAACATAACAGCTTAAAATAAAGATGAGGATTGTAATTACTACTAATTATGTGTTTATTATGATAACAATTTTTTCTTTATGATATCGAAGAAAATAGTAAAAATTATAATGAAAAGCGGAAGTGAGTTTTGACAAGTCGACTTTGCGATTTTTAACGTTGACGCGAAATGCAAAAAAGCGTAACGCGATAATTGTTCTGAGCCATGGCCTATAAATAAGGTCACCAAGGGAGACCAGCTGATTATCGATACCTCTCAAGTTTGCTGTCAAAATGCATTATTGTGAATTGACGTCCATTATGAAAACGTAAACAAAGTCGAAATTTTTCACATTAGACTTGAGAAAAAACAGCTGTTTTCCGATTTCGATTGCTATCTTGGTGACCTTATTTATAGGCCATGTTCTGAGCCCTTAATGTCATGTACAGACGAGCGTTGTTCGCTCTCTCATTCGTTGTTCGACCCTTAATTATGAAGTAATTACTTAGTTCCCCATACAAAATTGTCTGAGCGAACACCGACTTTTGTACGTTGTTTAATTCGAATCACTTTCTGAATAACCAATAAATTTGTCCCATCCCTAACAATTGAGAGTATTTATCGAAAATAAATTAATTTTGACCAGGGTTTAAAATGCAGCATCAAAAAATATTAGCATTAGTCTTACAGAGCTACTGCTAAAAAATATTGACATTATGACTAAATCAGCAAACGGCTAGCTTTTTTAGTTCGTAGCATCCGTAAAGTAAAGTAAAGTAAAATTTTATTGAGACTCTTCTTCTTTTCGATAACATAGTTAAATGTACTGAGAATGATTAGCCTAGTTAGAACTATATACGTCTTATTCTAACAATTGGAATGTGACATGCATCTTTGCAAACAGTAATAATATAATATATATGCGAAAACATACGAGAGAGAGTGAAAAGGCTTGCTCCCGGCCTATACATTTGCTGGCAGAGCATTTTACGTCTGCCAAATATAAATAAAGATAAAACAAAATAACAAAAACAAAATAAAAACAAATAATCTGTCTGCATAGACAAAACAAACAGAGCGCTTACAAGGTAAACAAGGAAAATTTTGAATTAAATAAAAGGTTAATACTAATAAAATTTATAAATATCACAGTGAGATCACTTATTAAACGATTGCTTATAAATTAAGCTAAATTGTAAATATCACAGGTAAGTTGATTATTTGTAATTGTTAATTGTTGTTACATCTATGTACTTCGTATGCAGAAGGAGACAAAATTAGTTTATCCTCGATGCGATCCAGGTGTTGACCTTGTGTAGAATACGGGTGGAGTTCTGTCTGGATCAGTGTCGAAACTTTCGTTAAGAATGCCAACCGGCGATAGGTAAGTTGAGTTATTCCATGAAATATGTTTTTCTCTTTCATAAATCACTTTCATTAGGTAATTTACGTGCGTGGACAGTTTTTCGGCAAAGCGTTTTTGTAGCAGAACGGCTGCACTCCCGAGACATCGTAAATATAATTATTTGCATACATTTTCGTTGGATTTTCATATTTTTTACCCACACATCTTCTTAGGATCTTTCGTTCGAAAATTTCTATCTCCTTTGCCACTGTTGGAGAGATAGAAAACCATATTGGGAAACCATATACAAGGACTGATCTTATTGCCACTTTATAAAGGAGGATTTTGGTCTTTTGAGGTAAGTGTTTACTGTTAAACAAATACGTAAATAATCCAACATATTGTTTCGCCTTCTGCAATGAAGTTCGTCCGTGAGAATTGAATTTATGCAGCTTGTCAAATGTGATGCCAAGATATTTTATACTGGATTTAAAAGGGATTTCAATTCCGTCCAGCATTATCCGAAGTTGCTTACTTTGAGGGACCACCATTCTTGGGCATTTCCCTGAAGCATTTCTGATACAAATGGCTTCGGATTTCGCAGCATTAATTTTTATTCCCCATTTCATGTAAAATTGATGTATGATCTCCAGATGTTAGAAGGCATACCTTAGGGCTTGTTCTGGAGATGTATCGTTTGCATAGATAAGACAATCATCCGCGTAAAGGATGGCTTTTGAATGATTTCTAAGATGTGGAAAATCATTGAGGAAAATGTTAAACAGGAATGGGGCCAATACACTCCCTTGGGGGACTCCACTGCTGATCAATCCATATCTTGATGAATCGTTGTTGATTTGAACACAGAATTTTCGCTCAGAAAGGTAATTATATATAATCTTGACCAGGAATGGATCAATACCTAAATCAATCATCTTATAAATAATTCCTTTGTGCCAAACAGAATCAAACGCCTTCTCAATATCTAAGGATATGGCTACAGTACAAATTTGATTCCTCAAGTTTGTCGTGATGTCGCTATGAAACTTGAGAAGCGCGTGTTGTGTTGAATGGTGTTGTTGGAAGCCAAATTGGAAATCAGCTATAGGATTGATTATGAATTCTTTCTCTATTTTCTCTTTTAGGACATGTTCAAAAATTTTGCCCAAATTGGAGAGAAGTGAAATTGGACGAAAATCAATGACCGATTCGCTATTGGGTTTTTTCTTAATTGGGATTATTTTTGCTATCTTCCACTCAGTAGGAAAATATCCATTGTTGATTGAATTATTAAGGATGTTTGTTAAAATGTTTATGGCAGCATCCGGAAACTTGCGTAATGTAAAATTAGAGACGTTATCAACGCCTGATGATTTTTTAGTGTTAATTTTGAGAATAATTGATTTAATTTTTTCAGCATTTGTGAAGTGATAGTCATCTGGATTACTATTGGACGTGAATTGGCTATTAAACGAGTAGATGCGAGGAGGCAATGATGAAGAGAATGATGCAATTCGTGAATCAACATCATCGACAGGAGAGTTTGGAATCGATTCTTGGAAAACGGACGAATAATACTGATGGAAGTGATTAGCTATTTCGGACGAATTAGTAACTCTGTTATTATCAACGACAACATGTTGACAAAATGGTGATTTTTTCCTGCCGCTGAAGCGATAAATTTCCTTAAAAGCGGACGGACCAGGCTTGATGTTTTGCAGACGGGAATTAAACAGCTTTGCTTGTTCGAGTTGGATAGACTCTTTTATAATGATTTTTAACAGACTTATTTGTTTAGAAAGGATTTTGTACTCACGACTGATCCGATTTCCAGTTCGATGAAAGATTTTTTTAAGTTCTTTTTGCCATTGATATTTAATTCTATATAATCTCTTTGATCTTTCAGAAAGGGGAAACTTTCCATTGCTGACCGTTATTTTCTGAGAGTGTGCATCATGGACAGTATTGTAACATCTGTTAAAATCCTGGATAACAGCATCAATTTCTTGATTTGACAAATTTTCATCTGAAGGTGGCATGAAATCCGATAATGCAGTTTCAAAATCCGCCCGAAAATTATCCCAGTTCGTATCTTTATATGAGGTGAAGGTTTTTGGTGTATTTAATAAAATCTCTGAACATTTCAGCTTCAGTTCTAACTTTAATGGAAAATGATCCGAAAATGTTGGCAATGAGGAAATTCTAAAGTTTGTCGAGTTACTGTCGACTAGACCTGTGCTTATTAAGAAGTGATCTAAAAATGATGGACCATTTGGGTAAGATGAAGATGCATCACAAATGCGTTTAACGTCCAGGATATTTGTTTGCAGCCAAGCCTTCAAAGCTTTTCCATTTGTATTTTCCACAGGATCACCCCAGGAAGGACTTCTTGAATTTAAATCTCCGCCGAGAATAAAGCCATCGAAGTTAGAGCATAGATGCAGAATTTTTCCCAAATCTGACTCCAATTGCGATGATGGATAGTAACAT